ATATTTATGATTATTGAATTTACATTTTTCTGAGGTTATGCACTATTGGTTTTATACATATGAAATTTGGTGGATTTTACGAATATGGATTTGCATGGATTTATTCGACGAGGTTTTGAGCTTTTGAACTCTGATGTTTTGGCCTGAGCTTTTGAGATATATTTTCTATAAATATCTAGTGGGTTATCATACAATACATCCACATAACACGGGTATGTACATCTATGGCCATACAACACAGTTGAGGATATTTATGTTATAACCCCAGCTTCACTGGCGAAACCAGTGTCGGACAGCTTCATTAGCCATGGCTAGTATCGGTATGTGATGTATATATTTTCTTCTCTAGCGTAACACAAAGTCGTACAACTTCACCTTCGGGTGATGGGGCCTACCATGTTTCTTCACTGGGGTAACTCGGTGTCGTACAACTTCACCTTTAGGTGATGGACATGCACTGCCTTCGGGCGACTATGATACACCTAGAAAGTACAGTATAGATGAGATTTATGGATTTGCCTTCGAGCAACAACATCACCATTATTGAGCTCTATTTTACGCATACTTATTTTATGAATGATTTCATGGCATGCTAGAGTTTTCAGAAAACTTACTATATGTAGTATTATATATTTTTTGAAAATAGGGGGTTAGTATGTTCAGAAAGAAATTGTGTTTCTATTATTAGTATTATTATTATTATAAACTTTGGTCCACTCACCCTTTGTTTTGCACCCCTTTCAGGAGTTAGAATCGAGGCATTCAATCCCAACGTCAGGGCATTTCCGGATAGGTATCATCGAGTCTTCTCAATGTAGAACCCACTCCGTTATTCGTACATTTTTATTGTAATTCTTTCACATTATTTTTCATTAGTTGTATGCTCTGAACATGTTTCCGCATTGGTACATTCCTTTCTAATTACCTTTTTTTTTGTATGCATGATTAAAAATGGCTTCGTCACCCTCGGGTGTCAGCTAACACGTACCTATCCTGGTATTAGGGATATCGAGATCGGGGCGTGTCAATGAGCGAATGCAAATAACAATCATACTGCAAGATTCAAAGCGGATATCAATCCTGTTGCGCAGATAAATAAAGTGCATAAAAATAAATCATAGAACACAAGGATTTGGCTAGGTAAAACTCCAACATATGTAGAAACATCCTCGGGCATACAACCAATTAATCAAATCCAATATGAGAAAAGTAACGTTACAAGTCTCAACCAATAGACTTACACGAGCACCATAGCGCAATCTTACGCTAGCAAACAAGGACACCCTTGAAGACAGCCAATGAATTATGTGATATCCTGGCTCAAATTTTAGTGGTTTATTTCGTTATTGAAGTATTTTAGAAATTTGATTAAGGTTAGTTAGTTAAATTCTCCGGTATTGAGAAAAGTGAAATTAAAGGTATTTTGGTCATTTCGAATTTTATTTGACCGTTTTGGTCAACTCTTGAGTCAGTTAGATAGAGCTCAATCACACGAATGTGTAGAAGAAAACATTGGCGAAACATAACTTTAACGAAAAATTACGAGCCACTAAAGTTAGGGTCACTTTTGTCATTCGACACCTCCTATCTATGGAAGGCCCCAAAAAGTTGGAGCAGTCTTTCCTCATTTAGAAATCTAGCATGGGGGTTAACCCGTTTACCCTTATCGACCCACAATCTAACCAATTACTAGGTGAGTTTTTCAACACTATTTCCATCAATTTATAGCGGTAACAATCTCCGTCACCACCTGGAAACAAATTCTATCCTCACCACGACCACTTTCTACCCAAAGTTATCCTCGTTTAACCATCGCAGAAGGTGGTTTGAAGCTCACCATTTTCATTAAACTTCCTCACCAACAATCTTCCATTTCCGACTACCTCGACGTTGCACACCACCACCAGTACATTCACCTCGATTTGGGCAACAAAACCTTATTTTTGGATTGGGTGTTAGGGCAACAACAACATCACAAGTTTTTCTGCCACCCGAACCTTTTTCGGCAAATTTCACTGTTTTCTGTCCAGATCTAAACTCTGGCAGAGGTAAAACATCTTATCCTTATGCTAAGATTTGTGTTTTGGCATATTTTGGAGTTGGCTTGATTCTGGCAATATATGTGCCGCCACATGCGATGACGCATTACCCAAAGACCTAGCTTGTTTTCATTAGCGAAATTTTATGCCTTGATTTCATTTTCATTGTTCATTTGACAAGATTTCATCATTTGAGCATAGTTTCATAATTGATCGTGCACTTGACTTTTGTGATTGGCGCAGATTCGACTGTTGGATCGACTTGAAACTTCTTAAGCTAGTAGAATGATTAGAGATCTGTTAAGACTTAGTGGGCCTATGGTGTTGCATCTTGGATTATATGCACCTTAGTTTTCCTAGAATTATGTATTATTTGTTTATAGAGTTCTAAGACAAGACTAATGTTTGTTTATAGGCGTGGATCGTATTTGAGCACTTCAATCGTGTATTAGGGTGCCATAGCACGGACTTTAGGTGAGTGACTTTAATATTATATGATATGTTACTACCACTATTTTAAAAATCCCTGCTCGGGCCACTTAGGCCCCGCCTAGGCACCCACCTAGATTGCAACTCTCACTTAGACAAAAAATAAATAATTTTCATTTTGCATTTTATTTTTCCAATAAATTGGAAGAGACTTGTTGAATACTTGGACGAACACTCATTATATGTTTGCTCCTCATGTTTTCAATATGTTCTAATACTTTATATATGTTATTATATTTTGAAACTTATATATCCCAATACAATTATATTCTTTAAGTATAAGTAGGCATTTATACATATGTCATATAATAAATTTAGCTGAAACTAAAAAAAATCGCCTAGGCTCCCCTCCTCGCCGCTCAACTAATGCCTAGCACATTTTAGAACCTTGGTTATTACAATGGAAACTCTCTTGTTATATACTGTGTGGATATAACATAAATTTACAAATGATTTTATAGAAAATGTGTGCTACTGTATACTTATGCTATGTTTCAAATAATTGTGAAATGAGAGCGTTTATAGAGGACCGCTAACCCAGACCCATGGGGTGATGTGACCTCGAGTCTGCACCATAGTTTTGTGGTACGTGAATGATCCTTCTTGGTTAATCTGCACAGGGAGACCATATTATATAAGGGTTGTGCTTAGTTAATGCGCATTGGGCAACCCTAGGATTGTGTTTGATTAATCTACTATAGGCAATCCTTATTACTTATGTATGGTCATATGTACTTTAGAAGTGATAATGCTTGGTTAATCTTCAATGGGTGATCACTATTTACCATTGCACTCATGAGTGTTCTACTTGGTTGGTCAGTACTGGGGGACCACTTGCACTTCTGATTTGGTTACCTATTGTAGGCTTTGGCAGAACTATGTCTCTCTATAACCCTAGTATTGTGTTACACATATAAAAAGAAGAGATTAAAGACATGTGTGGCTCAATCTAAAAAGAGACGATTGAAAACGGTTTACATGATAGTGTATCTAAAGTGAACGGATTTAGATGTGAGTCATTCCTACTTGATACAAAAAGGGATGCAATGATGAAAGAGATACCGATCTCATTCCTATACACGTGAATGTACTTATGATGGTGTGTCATTCTTACACAACTCGGTTGTGTGATGAATAATTATTATCTCGAAAGACGTTGGGTGAAATACGGAATTGAAGAATCATTCATATACAAATGTAATGAGGTGTACGGTGAATAAATTAGAAAATAAGTGGCGATTGGATCTTTGTGATCGTTCAAAAAATGCTGAAAGGTGAGTGGTGAGTCACAATGCGAAGAAGAATGATGGAATGATGATGATGATGATCAAAGTGATAGATTGATCAAGTATTCAGAGAAAAGTCATGTGTGAGTGCAATCAGTACTTTTATATTATGATAATTCGATTTTACTTTCAAATGTGTCGTATTATTGTCGCTCATATAAGCTTCCCAGTTTATCTGAGTTTTGCTTTGCTCGGTGCGCCATTTCCACAACCTAGGGTTGTTTAGTAAAGTAACAAGTAGCGGTTAGAGAAGAGGATTTTAAGTTGTGTGATTGGTGTGGGCAATGGACATGAGAGTAGGGATGATTACCTTTTATTGTAAAATATTTCGCTAAGCTTTGATGTATATTGTATGTATGAGTCTCAGGGATTCTATGTAACATATGTTGTACCGATAATGTTTTATTATCACGTGTCGATTTTGAGCGTATCTCGGGATAGTATGACAAGTTGCACTGATGCGTCGTCTTTCACCATGACGGACATCTCGCTTCACGATTCTTCTCCACATGATCTTCCACGCACAATCTATACATATGGAATTGTGACGAAACAGTAGAAAGATCTCAAACAAGGAACAGATCTTCTACAACATGATATGCACATGAAATCACTCAAAAACTGTAACACACACAAAGTATTCTCTCTCTAAAGCATATGTTAGTCTCTCAATATTTCCCATCCTGCCTGTCTATCTATTTGTGTGTATCTTCTACGGCAATACAATGTCAACATATCTATAATGAATCTTAACAAAACCCTATCACATAATGTCAAGTCTGATGGGCTTTATTTCGAAAGCCTTAAATGAAATAAACAAAGACCAACCACTTATGTTAACCCACGACTAAAATCTACGTCAGAAAAGGAAATCTAATATTGATTAACTTAGTTCAAGTAAGACTCAAAATGACACTTCAAACATGCACACGCAGAAGAAAAAAAATACATTTGTATGCATCTAAACTACTTAAGAATATATGTAAGTCTATAAGTCTTACTTACCATCCTAAACTTCAGATTGTGACTTAGTTACCGTAGAACAATGATCATCAGTTGGGTTTGATCTTCGATAGCTTGAGTAGAACCAATCCTAACATCTAAGACTCAACGTACACAAAAATTTAGGCTAGAAAGCTGCCAATTACGATCGATATGCACTATTAGATATTATCCTACAATACCCTTTTTGAAAAAAGAGAATCATTCTAATAGTATTATTTTGAGGAGGAAATGTTTCATTGCATGTTTAAAGAAATATATAACCTAATACATGCTCCTCTCATCCATCTCTGCAGTCATTTTAGCAGGATAGTTATACATAGTAGAAGATCAAATCTTTGCCGTCAAACAATCAGACATAATAAATTACTAATTTGATTCATCACTAGCAAGCCTCTCATCCAATATTGTTTTTCCCATGTACCTGCACCATCACAAATCATAACAAACCATCAAACATCAACGTGACATCCATGACATATAACTAATATTAAATTTTGAGTAACCTAATTACGAGTCAACTATGGATTAATTGAAACTGTCGAAAGCCCGTATCGCAGATAATACGAGCATTCATCCCTTACACTTGAGATCCATAATTTAATTTCCCATTCCCTAATGTATAACTTGCATCAGAATGACGTATTAACTTAACATTACATACGTACCTTCCAAGCATCATAACAGTGGCTTGAGGATTGGTTCCAGGGGGAGTAATTAAACGTCGAACCGTCGATAACTCGAAGAGCATCGACACCAAGAACCTTGTAATCATGGTCAACAACCCTACCAACTTGGCATCCTCCATGGTAATGCCATATGGTCATGACAGTGTCCTTGCAAAACTGATCCAAAGACCTTGACGCATTGGCATGTTTAGGCAACAAATTTACAGGGCTATTTGCAGTAGCGTTCAGCAGAGCTGCTATTGACATACCCTCGTATCTGAACTTAGAGAAGGCCTTTGAGTCTATTATTTTCTCAATGGTTTCAATGCCTTGGACACATCTCTCCAAGTCTTGGGGCTCTTTGAAGTAGTTGAATGTGACTGCCGGGTTGTCGTTCGGGTTTCGGGTCCGGAGCTCCATGTGGCCTATGGAAATTGGACCCATGACTTTCTCAAGAATGAACCCTCCTTTGAAGGCTGCGTCTTCAAGACTGTCCATGTATCTTACAGCTTCGGCTAGGGCTTCTGGGGTCCTTTGCTTTGGTGGCACTGTGGATAGCTGACCAATCTGCAAAATATGAACAAAATTAATCCACAATTACAATTATAAATATTATTATTAGTAGTACAATCACTAAGCTTAAACATTAGGGTTTAATCCCAAAATTGGATATTTAAACCCTAAAACGCAGCTCTAAACGACCATCATATACCCTAGATAATTAAACAAAACATGTCTATAAATGAGATCAAGTTGTAGAAAATTGAGTAGAAGTAAGTTTTTCTCAAGGTGTTCTTCACAAATAATTTCTGTTGAAACAATAATCAAGCCATAGAAAAACTAAAAACAAGAGAGCCGACCATGGTTGGCCAACGTCTAGATGAAGGACTCCCCATCTCACAGTCGACTCAACAACAAATCAAACTTTTATCTACGAAATATGAATTCATAACTTCCTCTAATAAAATAGAGACTAAAATGAACTATAACGATGGAACAAACTACATATCTTTTAGTCATTTTAGTAATTTGATGTCTTTTTAGGAGTAAATTAAGTTGCAAGTGGCCGTTTACCACAATGGTAGAAAGGTATTGAGCCCTTGCATAACGGAGTGGGTTCAAACTATGTCAGTGGCTAATCTAACAAAATTTACGGTTTGACAGAAAAAAAAAAGGAGTAAGGTTTGAATTAAATATAATTGGGTGTAGTGATCAAATTCTTTTTTAGAACCACTTATTGGCCTCAATTGAAGGGATACCTTGGGAGAGAACATTCCAAAGTCTTTGGTAGTAGAACCGCCAGCAAAGTTTTCACCACTGGCAGCTTCAATGTAGCTTCCAAAGTGGGTGATCCCTACCACCTGAATCAGTGAGACCTCCGCAGGGATTGGAGAGGGCACAAAAATTGCATTCATGGGGTTGTCAGACATGCCTTGCCCAACCAGGGGCTGGGCCACCACCACTGTGATGTTGTGGGCCTTAAGTTGTTCTGCTGGGCCCACTCCACTCAGCATTAGAAGCTGTGGACTTCCGAGTGCACCAGATGATATGATGATCTCGTTTTTGGACCCGTTTTTGAGATAGGCTCTGTGCTTGGTCCCTGAGGAGTCTCTGAACGCCACCCCATGGGCCAGTGGCCTTGATTTTCCTGTTTAAGTATCACAAGACAAAAAATATATTAAAATGATTATAGGGTCTTTTGGAAATAATCCTTTTATATTAATTAAAACTAGATCACAAACCTTTGGTTCTAAACAAGATCTTATGCACAGAAGCATGCAAGAGCACAGTAAGTCCAGTGGGATTAGCGTACTCTAATAAATCAGCAGCAGTGTGTCTATGTCCCTCCAGATCAAAAATGGTTCCTCCGACCTTCGTCCCGTAGATATGGTCATAAGTGAACCCATTGTAAGGCATCACCCCAGCTTCCATCAAACCATTGCGCACCGCCGCTTGCCATGCCTGAATTGGCGGCCGAAACGCCACAAGGCGCTCTACCCATTGGTATGATTCGTTAACTAATCTCCCGTCCCATCCAGCTTCCCTAATTGCAGAAGCATAATTCTTAATCATTATTAATCATACTTTTACTCATTAGTGATTATATATGTTGAATGAACATAACTACGTATAAGTCACGTGATGATATCATGTCAATGTTGAAAATTCGTGTCATAATACTAACAAGAAAATTGAACATTTGACGTGTCTTAATCCTAACTCATTATTCTACCATTCTTCATCACTTGAACTAACCAATTTTTTTTTTTATCACAAAATATATTGTGTTCAATTAGTTTACTTTTTACTGCAAATAAGAAGCTTGTATATAAATCCTCATATATTTTTTTAAACAAGGTATATAGATTGATATTCAACAATAACAATGTGTGACAACAAGTAAACATTAATTACACCTATGTAGATATTATAAACGTAAATATACCTAATGTAGTCAGGGGGAGCGCGAGTGTAAAAACCGGCATTGAGACAGGTGCCGCCGCCTAGCACGCGGGCGCGGGCGTTAATGACACCATCCTCAGAGATGAAGCGCTGGGAAGGGGAGGCAGGGGAGAGATCAGAGAGTGCACTGCCAAAGGTAGACAAATTTGTAATGTTGGGGTTGCCATAGGGAGAGCCGCCGCGTTCAAGTAGCAAAACGCTGTAATTTTGGGAAAGAGTGGCGGCCAAGGGGCAGCCAGCAGTGCCACCACCCACTATAATGTAGTCATAGTATGATATGTCTGGAGCTGTTGTTGCGTTATGCATGAAGGTGAAGTTTGGGGCTGTAAATTAGAGAGCATATATAAGAATATAAGTATATAGATTACACATCTTATGTAAATTAATGGAAATAGGGCTAACTTTGTCATTAGATTAGTGTAGCTTTATACGTGTCACATAATACACATATATCAAATTATACTTTGCTTTATACGTGTCACATAATACACATATATCAAAGAGAAAATTAGGTTCATATCCTTCTTTTTGTTACTCCATTAATTAAAATCCTATTCATTTTCAATTTTTGATCAAGATCCTTGGGTATTAATATCATTAATTATTTGAATAATAAAATATTTTTATTTTTACATAAATATTCCTTTAGTGTTAAAAATGTTACAATTAGTATATTTATGTTTATGGCAAAATTTTTTATCATATATTTTTATTTTAGTTTGTACCTATTTTTAATTTGTACCAATTTTCTTTTCATTTTTAATTTGTACCCATATATTAGTTTCTTTTTGTGCCCATATTTTTTTAAGTTTTATTTGTGTTTGTACCTATCTGTATACCATCACGTGGCATTGTATATTTAATTAATGATAGAAAAATTACATATGGTATATTTATGTTTTATGCCTAAACTTTGTATCATATATTTATATTTTTAGTTTGTACCCACTTTTAATTTGCAACATTTTTTTAAAATTTGTAGTATTTTCTTTTTAGTTTTATTTTGTACCCATGTATTAATTTCTTTTAGCGCCTATATTTTTAAAAATTCATTTGTACTCATAATTTTTAATCTTTTATTTATACCCTAATTTATTTATAATGTATGCATTCTTCTTTATTAATGTACCACTTTGTTATATGTGAAATGTACCAATTTTTTTAACACTATGGATACATTCTTTTGCCATTTATTATTTCTTATTTTTACACAGTTTTTATCCATTTATTCAGTCAAAATGTTTGAATTTTTTTTATTGTAACAATTTCTAATAGTATTATAATGAGGGATTTTAAATTTATAGGATTATAAATCTCATAAAATATCAAACAATTAATGTCAAAACTATAAAAATATAAATATTAATAGTAATATAATGAGGTGTACAAAGTCAAGGGACCTTGATCAAACTTTGAAACTATTAAGGTTTTGATCAAAGAATATTAAGGATTAGGGACCGCATCTAAAGTATCTCTATATCAAATTATACTTTTCTAAGCAAATAAATGCAGGCAACATTTTTAGGTTTATGCCTTTATTTCTGCTCAATGTATGCATGGTAGATGGATCAGGTCCCCACTCATTCACTACAAAGGGTAAAAGAATGTAAATGCACACTAATAATATAAAGGTCAGTATAATATATAGTTGGAAGTTGGTACATCTAGGGCTAATGAAACTAAAAATTAATTTAGCTTATGCTGCCTTTGGATTGCTGCTATGGGTGGCTCATGATCTTATAATTTTTCAGTTCAATGTACAATATGATGTTCTAAACTACTTCAATTTTTTGCGGGAGGGAGATTCATACTCGAGTACAAAAAGGTGTACATACTGTTGTAATCAACTAACCTCTAACTTATATCTGCCACAAGTTTGCATAAATGATATTATGCAAGCAGTAGCAGAATGAGTCTATGGATCTTTCTTATCACAGTCATCACAAACGCAGATATATCTCACTGCTCTCATTTCATGCAAACAAATTTCGTAAAAAATTCAACATATTCACAAAACACAAAAAAGAAAAGAAGAAGGAAGCGAGAAGATCAAGTGTTACCTCTTTCAGCACCAGAAAAACCATGAAAGAAGAGAATGACAACAACTGCAGCAACAAACAATCTCCACCACCCAAAACTCATTTTTTATAATATCAAGATATATATATCCCACGTACTTTCAAACAAGTACACAGAGGTTTTGTGTGTAGATGTTATGGCCGGCTTAATTGCTTTGCAAACCCTAATGCCTTCCTTCCTTCACAAACCCTAGTGCTTGCCTTCCTTATATAAGTTTCAAGGCAACGATATCAGCGGCTGGAAGTACTGAAAACAAAGCTCAAAAAGCCAGTCATGTGTACAGAAAATGAAGCACCGGACCAAAAAAGATTCAAGAAATGCATAAGATGTGATCAAATATATAGAAGCTAGCAAGCTGGCAAGCAAGCAATTAGCTCGGCTAATTTATAGACCAAAAAATAATGCATGCATGAACTATATAATAATCGCTAAATATTTGGTTTTTTGGACCTCTTTGATTTCAGCAAATGTCCGTCTTAATCTGTTAGATGTAGTGTGTGTGTGTGTGTGTGTGTGTGTTTGAACAGAGAGAGAGAGAGAGAAGGGACGGAGGAGGGCAGTTGGAGGAGGGCAGTTGGAGAAGGGCGGTTGGGTTTTATTAAACTCTGGGACCTTTAGATAGGTATAATGGTGGTGGATAATCACTATCAACTTAATTGTTGGTCATGTAATGTGAGAGTAATAAAGTTAGATCATTCTCCGTAAAAAGTTAAAACTTCGCAAAACAAAAAAAAAGAGATAAAAAAAAGACTTTTTTTCTTCTTATTCAGTGACGAGTAGATTTAAACTTGAGACCACTCAGCAACTAGTAATAGCTCAAAACCATATACTTTTGCACCCAAAATCATATGTTCATTTCCTCCTCCTCCAATATCACGTGTATCTTAATTGACATAGATAAATATTCTTAGACAAAGAACTAATTGGTTAAAATACCACCACTGTCTCTCCCTTTGTGTATACATGTTACAGCAGTGTGTCAAAAGTTATTTTGTGTTTGTATATAGGAGCACTATGAAATAACGTTATATTTTTAAAATAAGATGTTTGTGCCACTTAGTACTACGGTCTAATGATATTCATCTTCACTTGTAAGTGAGAGGTTTTAAGTTCGATTCTCAGTAAAGATGAATTTGAACATTATTGCTAGCTCATTATGAGGCTAAGTCACCCCCCTTTAGTGTAGATAATATCATTTGTTCAAAAAAAAAGATGTTTGTAACTTAATGGGCTAAGCATATAATGTTTAATTTTCATTCAAACTTTTATACATACTTCCATATAGACACGAGAGCGTTTTGTGATGTTGGTCAAAAAAATCGTGGGCTCAATAGCTGCTGATCGTGAGAGTTTTAAAGAAGTTGAACTACTTCAGCACAAGTAGTTGCATCTCAATGTCTCATTTAAAAGTTCCCCACAATTGCACACTAGTGTAGTAATAATATATGTGTTCAATCAAATATCATTCATTACCTTCATTCCAAACTTTTCGGTTCTTGAATAGAATTGTTAAGGAATCCAGACTTTGCTTTGGTGTATAGTTTGTATAAAGAATTGTTGGAGCCAACGCTACATCTAGCAAGATATGTTACGTTTTATCGTGTTTATGTTGTGTCATATTTATGTCTTGTGAAACTATATATCCTAACCTCAAAACACAACCTACTAACGTACTATATCCAACATATAAACCAAAACTCATTCACAATTTCAATGTGTCCAGACTTTCTATTTTTCTTGTCAGCAAAACAAAAAAACATAGTACATAAAACAAAATTCTATCTGAGTTTAGTACAATTATTATCGTGCGAAAATCGTGTTTTGCGAGTAAACACTAATCCAATCGACCCATTCTTATTCTTATCGCCAGTAAACACAAAAGTCTATCGAGCTTAGTTATTATGGTCTCAACCTGTTACGCACGAATCAGACTCAATAATCGTGCAGAACTTTGGAAGGTCTAGTGACTGGTGAGACCTGTGGATTGCTAACGACTTGCTAACATTTTTGGAAGGATATGGACCCTATGCTTTCATTACTCAAAGCCCTGTATATCTCCAAGGGAGGAGTAATTATATAATGTGGGTAGATTTTTTATTTGGGATTTTGTACATGTATTATCTGAACTTGCAAGTATGTGCGCCAATATCAGTACCTCAATTTTAAATTTTTTTATTTTAACCACCTGGACTCTTTTAATTGTTGAAATCTATCACCTGGACCATTTGCCGTCAAAACATGCCACCCGCCCCTCACGTGGAGGGATATTTTTGTCAATTCACTTCCTAGGGCTCGTTGGAATCAATTTGTACGAAGGCCAAAGGCATTTTTTGTAGCAATGTTGGAGTTAGGTCATGAAGAGAAAGGCAGAAGAACTGAAAATTATGCAAAAATATAGTCTTTCATTTATAGTGAGTTCTCAAGATATTTTTTTGTAGGTCAGCAAGTGGGTGTGTGGTTCACCTTAATTTATTCAAATATTAATTTTTCAAACTCTTATGGAGGGAATTGTCGAATGGAGGCGGTACAAACCTCCAATTTTGGCACCATATTGACTCAGGCAGTATTATTTTGGAGCCAATTTGATTCTAGCAAGCCCTATGAAGTTAATTCACTAAATATCCCTACAAGTGGCATGTTTAAACGGCAAAAGATGGCAAGTAACGTAAGTGGTAGATTCCAACAGTTGAGAGAGTTTAGGTGGTAAAAAATTAAAATTAAAAGATCATGTGGTATTATCTGCTTACAAGTTTCAGGTGGTACTTGCACAATAAAAAAAACTTATGTATAATTAACTATATTTTTTATTCATGGTTATTATCACGAACAGACGTTTGGATTACCCATCAATTTGGTCACTCACGTTTCAAATTAATCATTTGCATCCACACATATATGTTCGTCGAAGAAATATGAAGGTTGGCCTAAGAAGACAACGTTTAGTTTTTCAAACATTAATATGATCGTAGAAACCATAATTGCTTGATCTACATCGTATTATCTTCACAATCTTGGAACACTTTGATTACCAGATTCCCACCTACACCCACGATTGTTTGTATCCAACCCTAAATTATTTTGTGAGTCCTACAACACATCTACCATCTTTTCCGGTCATTAATTAGTTGTGTTCACTTTGTATGACCGACGACAAAGAAGAAACCCTTCTTATATAATTTTTATGGAGAATGTTCAAGATTTACGGTTTAGGGTAGCTCCATCCGTTTTGCCTCGGCAAGGAGCATGGAAGGACTAGAGTAATTAGTGTTCACGCAGAAGGCTAAGAATTCATTTCACATTTTGCTCATCATCTCTTTGGGCCTTATTTAAACTAATTATAAATCATTTTGCTCTTCATCTCTATGGGCCTTGCTAAACTAATTAGAAATCATGGCTGGAAACTTTTTTCACCCAGGTTACATTTTCAACAATTTTGCAATCGGAGGTACATAATTAGAGGCTTTTACTAGACTACCGCCTATCAAGTTTGCACGTTAATTTAAGAGTAGTACTGTCCACACACTCATTTTTACTTCTCATATACCTCTCTAAAATTTTGGCCGTCGAGTCGACACACCCATTTTTACTTCCCACACATCCCTCACAAATTTCGGTCGTCGAATCGAATGAATTGAAGAAGATCAATGACCAAAAATTAACAAGGAGATGTAAGAAGTAAAAAATAAGTGCGTGAATAGCACTATCCTAAGTTAACTTGCACAACGGAACAAAAGCCGTTACATGGATTGGTCTAACAATGATATAATAGTTCTTGTTCAATTGGTGCAACCAAAAGAATGAACTGTTGAATGCTCGGGCAAATATCAAACAGTCAAGGATCCAACGGCAAACGGCGGTGTATCACAAGTGACCCTGTTCTTTCCCAGAATGGGTAGGCTTGACGGGAGAAGCAAATTCATATAAATTGAAGACAAACAATGACCTAGTTTGCTACAAATATACAAACCTGCGGCTAAAAATAACAGCGATTCGATAGAAAATAATTGAGGGGACTTGAATTGGGAAGAGACGGGCGTTTTCTAATACATTTGGTATGATATGAATCAATAGAGAGAGTTGTACGTGTAGCAGGTGGCAATAATGGAAGTAATACAGATCACGAGGGAAGGAAGCAAGGTGATGTTCAAGAGCCTACTCTCCCCCAAGTATCCGGCTAGAGTTATGGTGGCATCTGCTACTACTCGAGCGAGTGTCCCAGCTTCTGTTGAAAGTAATCCACCATTGTATGTTCCGCGGGAAAGCCTCGATGACATAACCCTAGAGAGAAGCGACAAGTTGACACCTGCACAAATGGCGGTTGAAGATATGTTGAGAATGAGGCAGAAATTGCCTGTGCGTCTCCTGCTACTTAAGAAACTAACAATACTTCGATTCCTATTAAACCAAAAAGTAATTGAACTGAATAAAAATATCTCACCTTCAAGTACTTCAGCCGAAACAAACATGATGAGCCCTGAGCTGACGTATTGTATCACCGAGTACGGATTAAACATATGGAAGCTCATAACTATGCCTATGCAAACCACTATTTCGGATACTAGTAAAATTTGCCTGCAATTACGTCAACAAGATCAAATCCATCAGTTAGCAGGGAAAATAAATATGGAAATTATCAACGACCACCTATAAAACAGCACGGCAAGGATTACCTGTCTTCAAACATGTTGCTGATGTAGCTCCCAACAAGAATATTTACTGGAAGAACGGTTAATCCAAGACATGCCAGAAAAATTGCAACTTTGCTAGTATTCCAGCTAAAGTAGTACGTGGTAACAACACTAGATTCTGAAAGTAAAATCTCCATAGCATACTTGAGCATGAAATATATCAACAGTTGAACCTGACGAAACCATAAAGAAGTTGGAAGGGTTAAGTGAAAGTAATGTTAACACGGACATCAAGGGCACATTTAATGGATTATCTGTGAAAAAGACATATATGAATTTCAAAATCAATGAAATACCTTTACAGAGGGTGTAAGTAGTCGATACGCGGATCGAATTGAAGTGGCTGGTTGACGAGATTCCTCAGGAGCTTCTTCACTTTCATCAATATCTTGGTCACCATCTTCATCTTCATTCTTGTACTTCAGCACTAATGAGCAATGGTTGTTGAAGACCTTTCTCGAGCGCATCATTTACTGCTGTTCCTGTCAAATTCCAGAATAGATAACTGTTAGCTCCTAGAACTGCAACTATATGCTTTGCATTGGAGAGATGGAGCAGAATGGCTCAATCCTACTCTTATACAGCACATTCAGAATCATGGCTACGTGGGCTACGCACCCATTATACACACACTTATTTCATGGTAGAATTATTATTCAATGTCTCAATAACCAACATTGATCTGGATACTGAAATCAATAAACTTGAGTTCAAGAAGTGCCCACTGATTGAGAGAGGTCTATACCCATTAATGGATTTAAGGATCCGCTCATTGGCAGACATCATGCATGTCCACAGCACTATGTCTACATCAATGCCATAAACCATGTCGATACCAAGCTTAACTAACATGTTACTAACATTTTTTATTCTTTGGTCTGAACATGTCAAGCTTGTTGAAATCAGTA